TGATCATTTAATCAGTTTATGTCAGTGTGAAATTTGTTGTTTAGTTATTCTCAGGGCCTCAGGGTTTGCTTTTTTAGTTGATCTAATGGAGACACAAGTCTGAACATTTGCCCCATCTGCACTGAAACAGCGCGTTAGCTGTTCCTGAGTAATACAGCAAATACGAAAATCAACTAAATTCTATTCATTATTGTTTAGCATTCCTTGAAGCACAGTTTCATATCAAATGGTTTTTGTTGGATCTTTGAAAGGAAACTTTACATAAAGCTTGGTGAGTGATTTATTGGGCCTGTACTGTGAAGTAAGAAGTCTGATTATCAAAACCGTTGTCAGCATATTTGTCCTCCCTCACTCAGCCTTCTGCCTGACTTACCAAGGGCCACGATCACGGGTGATAAATAGATCCTCCCTCCTAATCACTGCTATTTTAGTACCATTAACAAACAGGCCACTCGTTTTAGAGCTGGCAAGACAGCTCGGCTTGGCAGGCCTGCCAGAGGCCCCCGTGCTTTGTCTCAAGAAATGTTCAACAATGTGCTGACTGGAGGGATGGAGCCAGCGCCAGCACCTTGGTTATAAATTCCCCTGCTGTTATTACCTGATTCACAGAGTTGCATAACAGATGAAAAGGAAAAATGCATGTTAAAGCAATGATTATTCATGTTCTTCCCAAGAGTTACTTAGTAAGACTGATGCAGTTCTCATGTCTGTATAGCAGAAAAATTAGCTACAGCAAGAAGAGCGTAGCTTAGCTTAGCATAGAGACTGGAAACAGGGGTAAACAGTTAGCCCAGCTCCACCCAGAGGAAACATCAGCACCTTTGAAGCTCACCTATTAACACATTTTATCTTGCATGTTTAACCAAAACAAAAACTGAAGTGTAAAATTGTCTTTATACTAAGCTAAGATTGCTGGCTGTAGCTTCATATTTACCAGACAGACATCTACTGTAACTCGCAAGAAAGTGAAGAAGTGTATTTCCCAATATGTTTAGCTACTCCTTTAAAGAGCAAAACACATTTGAAGTTTTTGAGGCAATTAGCCATTTATATTAAACCAAAATAATACAAAATAGGATTAAGTATATAAATGTTTGAAAGACAAGATATTGTATGGAGATAAATGCTACCAGATGCTAGTGCCTCTCCACATCTAGGCTTTTCACGTAGTTCTTTCTGTCGCCCAATTACAGTTTCCTTATTATCCACACTTGAGATGGCAATTTTCTTCTCAATGGGTCTCAGAGTCAATGAACGCCAGTCTACTTCACCCTTCAGCTAGCATAAGAGGCAATAATTATGGTGACATATTGAGACACATGCAGTACTACCTTATTTCATATTTCAGTTTAGAAAAGAAAGTAGACCAAATGTTGGCAAACAGAAACACACTTGGCACACTTCTTCTTCTTCCAAAGCTTCATAGTTTCATAGATTCAAGAAATACTGTCATGCAGTGTTTTTTATATTTGTGGTAAGTTAACTGATGTCATTAAATGTCACAAAATCTTTTCCTTGTTTTTATATTGACTAAATTTTGTTTCTACGCACATAGTTAAGAGCTGAGATCATTTAAAACATGCTCTGAAATTGTATAAAATCATAGAGTAGTAATTTGTTTGATGGGACAAATGTGTTTTTGTTTGTTTTTCAGAAGAAGATGCATTAATAAAATCCTGCTTTTGCAGATGTATAGTTTTGAGGGTGTTTGTTAGTTATAAATCCCAGAGATGTTGGAATTATTACCTGTACTCTAATAGCTCATATGATAAATTCAGCAGTATGTAGATTTCCACTCCACTGATCACAGTACACAGCACAATATGTCAAGGTCAGGTTTCTGTTCAAATTTAGTGCAGATTTTAACTGAAATTGCAGAAAATTGCAAATGAATGCATGTTTCCATCCACAACTGTTCAAATATTAGGAGGCTGGTGCGTTGAGATAAACAGTTGTTGGCAGGTACCATAGCCTCAACTTGCTGTTTCTTTTGATCACTGTTGCTTGGTTCAGACTACACAATTTGTTTGTCTGATATAATGGTTACTATGTCAGATTAAACAATTATAGAGGAATTAATTTTTGGATGAGGGATCTGACAGACACACAGCACTTTTCTGGTTCTTTCAACAGCTTAGGCAAATAAAGAACCCAAATACTATTAGAGAATTTATGGTATTAGTTACACATCAAATTAAACTGGTGAATAATTGCTCTCTGTTAATTATAATGCATTTTACCACAGCCAATACAAAAAAAATCTTGGACTTATTTGATACTGAACAATACTAAATCTAAAAAATATCTAAATGCCAAAAAGAAGAGCAGCAATGGATGACATTTCAGAAGCAAACAGCAGAGAGGTTTGAATAAAATTCAAGCTGAGCCGGTAAACTCGCTCTCAGTTAATCAATATTGCCCTGCAGTTGTAAGAGACTCTCAGACCAAAGAGGAGACAAAACACTGGGAACATGATTATATGGCTTTGACTTTCTGGCCTTTTTGAGGTTACCTCTAGTTGCTGATTTCATTGGAGAGGGAATCTCCATTTCATCAGATTTAGGAAGAGAGAGGGGTTTGAGAGTCAGGCTGTTGAAGAGATTGCCTCATAAGCTGAAGTTCACCAGCCTTATTCCCACAGCAGTAAATGTGTCTGTCAACAACCAGACAACCTGTCCCTGATTTCCCTTGAGCAACATACTGAACTCCTGCCAGAAAAGTCATACTTAACTCAAAATAACACTGAAAAAACGCACAAGAATATTTTGAATAATGAGCAAGTTGCATAATGTACTTTAAGGAAATGTATTAATATTATTCAATAATAATATCCTGCTATGCAAGTACTATCTATCATTTACCAGTGCAGTATTATGGGGCTGGTAGTGAGGATGATGCTAATACATTAATATTGATATTTGGATGTAGACTTATGAGTACACCACAATTTCCTAATCAGTGATCGTGAGGTTAATCAATCCGTCAGTCAGCAGAGGGTTTGTAGTTCAGTTACATTATCTCCTACTGTAGCATCACTTGTGGTGTTGTCACGGTGAGTCACTGGAAAACCGTTTCTGTACAATTTCCAACATACCCAGTATGTTCATTGTACAGGGAAACATGTTTCCTAACTATGAATATGACAAATAAACCCCATTTTTGTCACGTAAAAATGTGTCTGTGGAGTTTCTTTGTAACTCAGTATAAATCTGGTGATGATTTATATTTTTCTTAGTGTGAACAATCTCATGAAAAGACCAAACACAACAATGAACTGATCCCACTGATCTCCTCTGTGCCATAGACCTCTGTTAATGTCCCAAAACTATTAAAACACAAATAGCCACACAGTTGCACTGAGCAACATGTTTCTTCAGCACAGACACCTATACTGTTGTGCTGATGTAAATACAGCACTGACTGACAGGTGGATATTTGTGACGCCTGTAAAGTTTCCAACAAATGCATTATTATAGGAATTTATTCAAGCTGTTGTCTTCAGTAAATGAAGCAATATATTCCTGACCCCTTTTTAATATACTAACGGGTCCATTTTGAACTGAGGTTTGAAGCTGAAGGTCACAGACAGGCTCAGCAAGCCAGAAAGTGCTGCCAGGTGGATTCTTCGTTTTGGTCTTTTTAGGATATTTGTTCTGTTTACACTATATCTCATAATTTTAACTAGTATAAGTAAAGAACATAGCTGACCTTATCTTTTAGATAATGCAAATTCATTACGGAATGAGAGATGACAGAAAAAATATTGTAATTTTAGTAAATATTAAAGTGATAATATGTTCTAGCTTAGCCAGTTGATGTTCACGTTATGTTTGGCATTGTGTGGTGTTAAGCAGTTTGTACAACACACAGGATATCAGAATCAGCTTTACTGGCCAGGTGTGTTGGACGCACAAGGAATTTGACTCGGGTATAGTGGCTCTCAATGTGCATGTTCAATGTGTAATAGCACAAAAGCTGTCAACATGTGAAGATTAAAACTGAACGGATATATCAGTTGTGACAGGACTGGCTACTGCTGTGGTTATTGAGGCCAGAAAACCAATCAGCTGTTCACTGCCACTATTGTTCAAGCACAGGTTGCACTCTGAGTCACCTCACCACCCACGTGTCACATTTTGTCAAAAGATACAAGTGTGGAGTTGCTCTTTGTGTGGCCTTTTCCAGTCAGCACCTTTTGTTGGTAGAACTAAGGTTTACAAACATCATCATCCACAGAAATATAATGACTCCTAAATGCAAACACCACCATGCAGCAGGAGCTTTTTGCAGCAACTTTCTTATAAGAGAAATTGTTTTCCTGTTCTCTCCACAGGTGCAATCAAAGGTGTAATTTGTCAATTGACACCCCCAGTCCTTGTGGAAATAAGATTTAGTTACTCCTGAACATGAAGTATTGCAGTATGAAGTGTTTTCTGGTGCTTGCACTGAACTAAATTCTTGAGTTTATTTTTCCTAGAACTAACAAAGCCATTCTACAGTACATTGAATGAGTGAAAATGACACTAAGTGGACAGATTAATCTCTAACAGTAACATGATATATATTACTTCAAGTAAACAAACGGTTAACAAGAAGTCAGCCTGAATACTGGACTGGTAACAAAACAGCTCCTCCACTATGATATCTGGATGTGTTTAGTCAGCTGATGCAACTATAAAATCTATAAAACACACATGTACAAATTGGCACAGCTTGATGTGATTAATTTGATCCACATACTCATAGTATACAGAGACTTCACAGCTTAAGCTGTGGGAAATGTATCTACACATCTGGGCTATAGTGTACTGAGAATGTCTCAAAGGGCAGTTGATCTCCCAGCCTTCCCAGTTATTACACAATTTCCACTCAAAAAAACATGAATGAAATAAGAAGAATAATTTATGATGACTGCAGTGTATTTATGTTTTCCATACTGCTGACTGAGACCTTGGCCAAATGTGACATTTAACATTTTGATCTCTCTCTTGGTACTACAGAATGGCGAGGCGTCACTCTTTGAGGTGAACATCCGTTATGTTGGTGGGCTGCTGTCAGCGTACTACCTGACAGGAGAGGAGGTAAGATTAATAGATGCCTTCTATCCATCTGAGATCTGCTGCTTCCTTTATCCTCAACCTGCCCAGTAGTTTGAGTGATGAACAAGCTGCCTCTGAGTGTGACTACATTTGTGTATGTCAGTGTGTGTATGTATTAATGTGTCAGCACAGTGCTCACATCTCACACCCTCCTACATTAAGCATTTTCAAGTTGCAGGTTTTAAAACCAAAACAGTATCACCCATATAAAACATATGCGTAAGGTCCATTGTTTGACTTTCACTTAAAAAATGATGTAGATTAATGTGGGCTTAAGGTTATTGCGCATACTAAAGTTGTGTTCACTGCAGCTTTACAGTAAACGAGGTCCTGTTGTGAATCCAAAATGAGCTGCTGAGCATTTACCACAGTCTGTGTAAAAACTACTGGTGAAAGAAGATTTTAGATTCTTTGTCAAAGTATAAATATACTCCATTAGCAGTAAAAGTCCTGCATTCTAATTTTTACTCAGTACCTTAAAATGGTACGCAAGGACATAATTACTCTAAACCACAGGTTACAAGTTTTTAATCCATCTGGTCAATTGAAAATTTTCACCTGGAGAGTTTTGCATAATTCTTTTCTGAAAAATGTTTTAATCTTTATTATAAATTGTTTATTTTCATTGAAAGGTTAAAGGGAAAATAATCAGCCCTAAGTTTAAATTCAGATCTGCTGACATTGTATTACTGTTGTAGTATACAGGTAATGTGGCAGAAGGTTAGAGAACAGCTACTACAGTTGTGTCCTTGAAGAGGCCACAGTCACTCCAGTGAAGGGGCCAAGTGTAGAGGACTCTGGTTAATGATGGACAAGTGTGAGGCTGTGAAACTTTATGAGTGTGAAGCACTTGTTGGAAAATAAGTATGAAGGCTCTGAAAACATGGGTTTAAAAACCAAAGGTTTAAAAACTGCCCATGACGGCCACAGACCACAAATGGGCCAGTTCATTATCAGTGCATTGTGAAGTAACTGGAGGTCAGCATGTCACCATAATGAGCATCTGCCTGTAGCAGCCTCCTGGAGCATACGCGCAACATTTTCGGTAGTTGTAGTGTTTTGAACGTCACTCAGCTGAGGAGGCTGAAATCAGTGCAGCGGCAGAATTAATGGAGAGAGGATCCAGTGACATATGAACACTCACGTCGGGTTAATGGACATTGATTTGCAGACCAAGCGAGTTGAGGGGAGAGTAGCATAAAATTGTCCACCACCGCGGGATGAGTGAAATATGAATACATTGGTGGAGCAGAATACATTCTTGAATCCATAATTCCACATTTGTGTTCCATTAATGCAGTGCAGAAAATGTTATTCTGTCTTATTCACTGGTCCGTGGAAATTTCTATATATGGCATCAATATGGCATTTTCTAAAACAGGTGAGTGCAAGGAAAGAATAGAGTGTATTGTTGATGAGGTTTTCTCTTACCTTGTCATGTCATACAAGGACTTCAGTGTCAACTATTTGGGGTGAAGTAACTCTATGAAATGAGATACATTAATGCTACTTTTATGTCTTTTAATGTTTCTTTTTTGACCTTAGTCTTGTCATTAATTGTTCCCATCCATCTCTGTTGTTCACAAGTTGTGTTGAGACAAATGATGACCCTTTTCCCACATACTTTCCTTTACATTTAGACTGTTCTGCTGTTTACATCACTGTATACCATTATTCTTTTGAGATGGAGCACACCATTGCAGTTTCCTGACAGACGTATCAATACCCTTTACCTCAGTGCAGTTATCCATCACATGGCTTGTACTTTCTGTGAAGAGTCCCCGAGACCAAGATTTATGGCTACCTGATCCCCTTCCCCTCAGTTCCCCCATTAGGGTCTGTTCCTCTGAGTCTGCTGTTTCATCCAAATGATAAAACCGACAGATTGAAGGTCTGGATTTAAATCACTTGAGATATAGTGTAGGAGGCTATTAGGAGATTGTGGATCTAGTTTGTTCCTGAGGACACTGAGCAGCTGGTGCCACTGTAAATGATTGCTGTGGAGCGGATGATGATTATGGCTCCTTGCAGGATGCAGCTTGCAGGAGCAGAGCTGGACCAACACCTGACCATTAATAACCTCTTCTTGTTGTGACTGTATTTTCTATGGGGCACAGAAGGAACATGGTTGGTCTTTATGTGGGCAGTCTCAAGGTTAAACGTAATGTTGCCGCCCCTGCTCATTTTGTCGCATGGTCATTGTTTGCAGTCGCACACACCTACCTAGCCAAACCAAATGATAGAAGTGGATGGTACTGCAGGTCTAAGCTGTGTGTCCTGCTATACATGTCTGTCTGTCAATAACTCGGGGCTGCAACAATTACTATCATTACCAATTTCTCTGTTGGCTATTTTTAGATACATTTTTTAATTTAGTTAGTAAAAATAGTGAAAAACTTCCACAAACTAAAGCTGTGATTCTGCCACCAGTTGAACTGTCTGTTGCCATAGCAACCACTGCTGGCACAGGTCTGGCTGTTAAAGCCAACCATTTTGACAGACCTCTGACCAAGCAAATATCGACATAGTGCATCTTTTATCTACTTCCAAAATTGTTTGGCCATTATCTATAGGCAAGGTTTTTATTAAGACTGTTTTGTGATTTGCTCATTTGTGATTTCTTAGTTTTTCTGCTATCACTTTAGTTCTAACTAAGCTAACCATAATGGAAAATGAGAAGGTACATCACACCACTTTGAATGTTGAGATAGGTGCCATTTTGGGAGGGAGGCGCTGTATTTACCTGTAGGCAGATAAGGCAGGATTTGTGAAGGATGAAGTCAGAAGGCAGTGGGAGGTCAGCAGCCGGCAGATCAAAACATCTGGTGTTCCAGATAAAAAGGGACAGACAAAAGACAAATTAAATGTAATAAAACAGTTAAAAAACTGGCAATCAGTGGGTGAATCCCATTTCTCTTATTTGATCATTCCTCGCTCCTCCATCCTCACTCGACCTGAAAGTCGTTCTAGTCTTCATACAAGCGTGTTAATTGTTGACTCAGCCTCTGTTATTCTACTGACTGTGTCCACACTGGCAATGTCCATTTGTAAGCATATACGTAAATATGTGTGCTGATGAGACCTTGTTGTCTCATCCCTTACACTTAGCAAGAACATAGAATGGTGAAGGGAAAAAGATCAGCCTTGTGTGAAAATTGCCATCGGCTGAGCTGAAGCAGCAGGGAGGGTGGGAAGGAGGGCGGCAGCAGCCGGCAGAGGGGAAGAAAGACGTGTGCATATGCTCATCAGCAAGAGTAAAGAGATGAAGAGAGGAGGGTCAGGAGAGGTGAGGAAGAGAGAAGTGTGTTCATATGTTGATCAGCAAATGCAAGTGAGCATGAGAAAGTGATATAAGGAGGTGGAGAGATACACCGAGGACTGGAGATGGTCAGAGAGAGATAGAAAGAAAAGGAAGAAGTTATAAACACTATTTTGGGGGGAGCGGTGGCTAATGGGATGCAGAATTTTCCATTTAATTAACATTTGATTTCAGCGCAAAATGGTGCCCCATTTTGACCTAAATTTGCCAATAAAAAGTTAATTGATATTTCCACACAGTTATTGCCTGGGAATAAGTGTGTTCATTGATAAAGACAAGCCAAAAGTTAACTGATTAACAGCAATACATTCTTCTAAAATACATTCTTCTAGTACCATTAGCATGAGGGTTTAGTTTGAATGGAAACCAGTTACTTGTAAATTTATTTTGCATGCATGCAACTGTGATTGTTTTTTGCACAGGATGGATTTTTATGGAAAATGCAACAATCTTACACTGGCCAAGGCTGCATGTTTATGCAGGAAAGTGTCTAGATTTATAGCAAACTTTGTCAAAATATAATAATTTTTATTTTTTAGCAGCAGAGTAGTTCTTCTGGTTGTGCGACCAGTGACAATCCATCAACCAGGTACAATTTTGAACATATTTTTCTCTACATTTCCTGGAGTTCGTAGCTGCAGTTCTCCTGTTGTTTAGAGATGTACAGTCCTACAACAGGAGTTGATAGACAGCTGTCATTCCCTCTGTAACAGACAGGTGGGTGCACATTCACATGATTTATTCATAAAGATAAACAGCTTGAGAGTGACTTGATAGTAAGCATGCAAGCAAGAACAATGTGTCCATGGCAATTAAGTGAAGTCGGAGGAATATGTTGTTAAAATGTCCAATTTTTCTGGCAAAGTGTCACAGGCCTCCCTATTGTAATTGGTCCTCTGCCTTGTGTGACGGACTGTTTTTGCTCATGAAAGATGCGCATAGGCAGAGAACAAGAAAGACAAACAGATAGGGAGAAGAAAGATGAGAGACAAAGAGGGAAACAAGCAAGAGGGAAGGAGAAGAAAGAAAAATAGAAAGCCAGAGAAGGGAGGCTGGCAAGAAATGATAATGATAGGGTGAAAGAGAGAACAGAAAAGAGCGGGTTCACATTTTCCTGCTATAGGCAGGTAAATATTAGGAGTCAGACATTACAATCATTGGCAGAAACCACATTATGAACCTCATTTATTCTGCAATATCCTGTCACGCCAACAAATAAAGGTTAGAGCACTCACTCTAAAAATAAACTTTCTGCTCAACTACAGCACAGCTTCTGATATCCAGGCATATGTTTTCTGAGAAATGAAATGCTGCTGTGGTTGTCCTTCAGACGACGTAACAATTTTTACCTGCTTATCACACTTTCACATTTATAATTATAACTGGTTGGTAGCCTTCAATCCACCTCTTTGACAGGTCTCAGGGATGAGGGATGAACTGTTTAAGGGCCGTGACACACCAAGTTGACGGTAAGCCATCGGGTCGGCAGTGACTGTCTGTCCGGGCTTGTCTTCCTGCTGTGTACTGTACTGTTGGCGCTAGACGGAGCCTGTCGGTGGCTTTTCGGTTCAATCTGTTAAATCAGCATCAGGCTCGCTGGCGAAAGAAACCGCTATGATTGGCTGGCCAGCTTAGTGAATCAGTGCATGAGAAGAGAACGATT